GCTTTGTCCCGGACGCGTCTGGTTGGCAGTTTTACCACGCCACCTCGCGCCGTGTCCTGCCCTCTCAGGACGTCACTTTTGACGAGTCCGTGCCCTACTACCGCCTCTTCCCCTACCGCACTGCCCCGCTCCCCCCCCCGCCTCTCTTCCTCGCGCTAGGTGCTGCTGTGGTAGACCCCCTCCCCCCTCAGGGTGCCGCTCCCTCAGGTGTGTCCCAGGTAGACCCGGTTGAGCCTGTCGAGGTAGCTGTCGACTCTCGTCCTGCTAGGGGTGCTGAGCCTGAGCGTGCGGAGCCTGGGGTTGCGGAGTCTGGGGGTGCTGAGCCTGGGGGTGCGGAGCCTGCGGGTGCTGAGTCTGGGGGTGCTGAGCCTGGGGGTGCGGAGCCTGCGGGTGCTGAGTCTGGAGGTGCTGAGCCTGGGAGTGCTACACCTGGAGGAGCTCTCTCCTCACAGCAGCTGCGTGAGTGGTACTTACAGTACTGCAGCCTCAGGAGAGGTGCTTCTGGAGCTAGGAGTGCTGCTGGAGCTGGTGCTAGTGCTTCCCCTCCTAGGCGGGAGCTGCCCTCTCCCCAGCGGCTCCGAGAGTGGTACGCGCGGCGCTGCAGTCTCCGGAGTGGCGCTCCTAGTGTCGCGGACCCTGGTACTGGAGGTGCTGCTGCTGCTGGCGGTGCTGCTGGTACTACTGGAGGTGCTGCTGGTGCTAGTGCTGCTGACGCTGCTGGAGGTGCTGCTGGTGCTGGTTGTGCTGCTGGTGCTGCGGACCCTGGAGTTGGAGCTGCTGCTGGTGCTGAGGACCCGGGCGTTGGAGCTGCTGCTGGTGCTGCGGACCCTGGAGTTGGAGCTGCTGCTGGAGCTGCGGACCCTGGAGTTGGAGCTACTGCTGGTGCTGAGGACCCTGGAGTTGGAGCTGCTGCTGGTGCTGCGGACCTGGGAGCTGGTGCTGCCGGTGTAGCTGGAGACCCTGGAGCTGGATGTACTGGTGGTGCCTCTGCTGGTTCTGGAGGCGCTACGCGGCCGCGGCCGTACTTCGTTCCGCTCCTTCAGCAGGTTCTTGGTCAACCGCCTCCCCCTAGTCCTGCTCCCTCCTTAGAGTGTCCTCCGCCTGTCCAGTCGCAGTCACAGTTACCGCCTGCCTCGCCACTCCCTGGTCCTTCTCCTTACACTGGTCCGACAGGTGGTCTCACTGAGCGTCGTGAGCCTGAGTCTCGTCCTGTGTCGCCAGAGTCTCGGTCTGCTTCGCCTGTTCGTGCTGCTCGCACTGGTCGTCGTGTCCTGAGTCAGCGTCTGCCTGATGTCCCAGGCACTCACCAGATGGCGCTTCGTCCTTCCACTGCTCCTCATCGTGTCCCTCTGCAGTCTCCTCCTGCGTCCTCTCTTCCTGCTCTTGCTGACCCGGAGTCTGACTCCCTCCGTGCTGCCAGTCCTACTGTCACGCGTCTCCTCGCCACTGTCGTCACTGACCCTACCTTTGAGTCCTCTGCTGCGTCTGCTCTAGTAGCTGAGTTAGTTGACTTTGCTGCCCGCTTGTCGTCTAGACTACGCCGCTAGCCTTGTCGCTGAGTCTGAGTCTGTCTGTCCTCCGTCCGTCGGGGGTGAGTGTGCTCTTGGCACGGACGTCCTTGAGGACAGGCAGGAGGAGTTTGAGTGCTTTGCCGCTGCTTTACCTCATCTCGTGTCCATGCTTGTTGCCCTTGAGGGAGACCCGGATGCTCCAGACATCCCGACCCCGCACTCTTACACTGAGGCGATCGCGGGTGAGTACTCCTCTCAGTGGCAGACAGCCATGGACGCAGAGATGGCTTCTTGGAAGTCCACAGGCACCTACGTCGACGAGGTTCCCCCACCTGGGGCGAACATCGTCAGTGGCATGTGGATTTTCAGGGTGAAGCGGCCGCCGGGTTCTCCGCCTGTCTTCAAGGCGCGTTACGTTGCACGAGGCTTCAGTCAGCGAGAGGGAGTTGACTTCTTCCAGACCTTCTCCCCAACCCCGAAGATGACCACTCTTCGGGTTCTACTGCACGTCGCCGCTCAGCGTGACTACGAGCTCCACTCTCTTGACTTCAGCACTGCTTTCCTACAGGGCAGCCTGCACGAGGAGATCTGGCTGCGCCGCCCACCTGGCTTCACTGGGTCGTTCCCTCCTGGTACCCAGTGGAGCCTCCGGCGGCCAGTCTACGGTCTTCGACAGGCGCCGCGTGAGTGGCACGACACACTGGGGACTACACTTGCGGCTCTTGGGTTCGCTCCTTCTACTGCTGACCCGTCGCTGTTTCTACGCACCGACACTTCGCTGCCGCCGTTCTACATCCTCGTGTACGTCGACGACTTGGTCTTTGCCACTGCTGACACTGCGGCACTCGCCCACGTGAAGTCGGAGCTGCAGAAAAGACACACGTGCACAGACCTGGGTGAACTGACAAGCTATCTTGGCTTGCGGATCACCCGGGACAGAGCACGGCGCACCATCACCTTGACTCAGTCACACATGGTGCAGCAGGTCCTTCAGCGCTTCCGCTTCACGTACTCCTCGCCTCAGCCCACTCCTCTGCCTATCGGTCACTCGCTCTCAGCTCTGCCTTCGGATGAGTCCGTAGAGCCGAGTGGCCCGTATCCAGAGCTTGTGGGCTGCCTCATGTACCTGATGACCTGCACTCGACCTGACCTTGCATACCCTCTTAGCATCCTTGCACGCTATGTCGCTCCTGGCCGTCACCGGAAGGAGCACATGGATGCTGCTAAGAGGGTGTTGCGCTACTTGTGCAGTACGTCGGGCATGGGGCTAGTGCTTGGAGGACGAGACCGAGTTGTACTCACTGGGCACTCAGACGCTTCTTGGGCTGACGACCAGGCTACTCAGCGGTCGTCTCAGGGTTACACCTTCAGCCTTGGCTCTGGTTCAGTTTCTTGGCGTTCTACACGCTCGTCTTTTGTTCTCAGCTCCAGTTGTGAGGCTGAGATCTACGCCACAGCCGTGGCTGCACAGGAGTTACGCTGGCTCACCTACCTGCTTACCGACTTGGGAGAGCGGCCTCGTTCTCCTCCAGTGCTGTACGTCGACAACAAGGCTGCCATTGCCTTGTGTGAGGAGCACAGACTGGAGCACAGAACGAAACATATCGCTCTGCGCTACTTCCTTGCTCGAGAGCTGCAGCAGCGCGGTCAGCTTCGTCTGCGTTAAGTGGCCACTCGGGCCAACACTGCTGATGTGTCCACCAAGGCGCTTCAGCCTTGTGACCATCAGCGTTTCTGTACTGTTCTAGGCCTTGTGCCTACTCTCCCTCACTTGCTCACTTCTTGACTCTGCTTGTACTGTGATCTCTATATATATACCTGCATGCTTACACTTGCTAGGTTGTGATCACTGTACCTCTTGTTCTATTATCAAACTGCATGTGAACTGGTCTTGTGACCACTTGCTTGTGCTCGGAATTTGTGTGGTATCCTTGAGATCCACCCTGAGCTTGTCTTGCTTTGCTTTGCTTTGTCTGGTCTTGTGACCGCTTGATCTCCCCCACTTAGCCTATGGGGGTGTGTCAAACATTATATATGTTGTATTTGTGTAGGCTACAGTGGGTTAGCCTTTAGGGGGTACATTATTCTAGGGTTAGGTATTTGTACTCTCACTTGTTTCTAGTCCAATCACTTCTTCTTTCTCACAACACGGAAAACGGGGCCATGAGGAAGGCGGTCTGGGAGGCTCTCCGTCTTCCTCTGGCTCCTCCGTAGTCGCCATGGGAGTATCTAACTCCAAAAGTCGGCTCCTCTCCACCAACTGCTGCTCCAGGTCGTACATCGGCTCCCCCCCTAGCCGCTGCTCTCCCTGGGATCCACCAGTCACACCTGGCTGCCCACCTAGCCGCTGCGTTCCCTGGGGTGCTCCGGTCACCCCCGGCTGCCCCCCTGGCTGCTGCTCTCCCTGGGGTGCTCCGATCGCCCCCGGCTGCCCCCCTTGCTGCTGCTCTCTCTGGGATGCTCCGGTCGCCGCCGGCTGCCCCCATGCCTGCTTCTCTCCCTGGGGTGCTTGGGTCACCCCCGGTTGCCCCCCTGACTGCTGCGCTCCCTGGGGTGCCCCGGTCACCCCTGGCTGCCCCCCTGGCTGCTCCGCTCCCTGGGGTGCTCCGGTCACCCTCGGCTGCCCCCCTGGCTGCTGCTCTCCCTGAGGTGATCCGGTCAACCCCGGCTGCCCCCCTGCCTGTTGCTCTCTCTGGGGTGCTCCGGTCGCCCCAGGCGGCCCCCTTGCCTGCTGCTCTTCCTGGGGTGCTCGGGTCACCCCCGGCTGCCCCCCTGGCTGCTGCGCTCCCCGAGGTGCTCGGGTCACCCCCGGCTGCCCCCCTGACTGCTGCGCACCCTGGGGTGCTCCGGTCACCCTCCGCTGCCCCCCTGGCTGCTGCTCTCCCTGAGGTGCTCCGGTCACCCTCGGCTGCCCCCCTGGCTGCTGCTCTCCTTGGGGCGCTCGGGTCACCCCCAACTGCTGCTCTCTCTGGGGTGCTCCTGCCACCCCCAGCTGCCCCCCTGCCTGCTGCTCTCCCTGGGGTGCTCCTGCCGCCCCCAGCTGCCCCCCTGCCTGCTGCTCTCCCTGGGGTGCCCGGTCACCCCCGGCTGCCCCCCTGCCTGCTGCTCTCCCTGGGGTGCTCGGGTCACCCCCGGCTGCCCCCCTGGCTGCTGCGCTCCCCAGGGTGCTCCGGTCACCCCCGGCTGCCCCCCCTGGCTGCTGCGCTCCCCAGGGTGCTCCGGTCAACCCCGGCGGCCCCCCTGGCTGCTTCGCTCTCTGGGGTGCCCCGGTCACCCCCGGCTGCCCCCCTGGCTGCTGCTCTCCCTGGGGTGCCCGGGTCGCCCCCGGCTGGCCCCCATCCCGCTGCCCTCCCTGTCGTCGCCCCCTTCGGCGCCGTGCCCGCGACCCTTCGGCTTGGCCTGTGCCGCCCGGGCTAGTGACCCCCTGCTGATTCTGCACCTGCAACTCCTGCGACTCACTCGTCGGCAACCCCTGTTGCACACTTCCAGGCAAGGGCTGGTTCCCCTCATAACACCCTTGCCGCCCTGCCTGCGACTAGGGTTGATTGTCTGTTTGACTCCCCTCCTGCATGCATACCGGCAGCTCCTCTCGCGCCTCCTCTTGCGGCTCCTCCATCTCCACCTCCAGCTCCTGCTGCCCCCCAGCCTGCAGCTCCTGCTGCTCCCCAACCCCCTGCTCCACCTCCATCTCTGCCGCCAACGCCTGTTGACCTCCGGGCAGCTCTTGCTGTCCCCCTGCCTGCTGCGCTCCCTGGGGTGCTCCGGGCACCCCCGGCTGCCCTCCTGCCTGCTGCTCTCCCTGGGGTGCTCCGGGCACCCTCAGCTGCCCCCCTGCCTGCTGCTCTCCCTGGGGTGCTCCGGGCACAACCGGCTGCCCTCCTGCCTGCTGCTCTCCCTGGTGTGCTCCGGGCACCCTCAGCTGCCTCCCTGGCTGCTGCTCTCCCTGGGGTGCTCCGGGCACCCTCAGCTGCCCTCCTGCCTGCTGCTCTCTCTGGGGTGCTCCGGGCACCCTCAGCTGCCCCCCTGCCTGCTGCTCTCCCTGGGGTGCACCGGGCGCCCTCGACTGCCCCCCTGCCTGGTGCTCTCCCTGGGGTGCACCAGGCGCCCCCGGTTGCCCCTCCGCCTGTTGTGCGGCAGCCCCGCTTCCAATCCGCCCTTGCGATTTGCAGGAACATCGACTCCCGCATCGGCCCCGTGCCCGGGTTCTGCTCGCTTCGCTTACAGCATCCGAATTCGCGACCTCCCGCTGACCCCGCGCCGGCAGCTCCCGCCGCCCTCCTGTTTGCAGCTCCTGCTGCTCCTCTCGTGGCATTTCCACGGCATGTGATAGCTCGGCCATTTCCACGTCTGCCGCTTGCTTCTCCCTCGCCGGCAGCTGCCCTTCTCCCGGCAGCCCCGCTGCCCTTTCCTAGGATGCTCCCCTCCACTCGGCAGCGTCCGCTGCCCTTCGATGCGCAGCTGCTGCGGAGATAACTGAAGCAACGGGAGCTAGGCTACGGGCTAGGCACGTGTGCTCGTGTGATCTCTGCGTTCGTTCACTTAGTCGTTTCCTTGTGTTCACGTTGCTTGCTAGTTCACGGGGAGAATTGGCAAGAGTTTCACTAGGAAAAACATGACAATAATGATACAAATCAGTTGGCATGGCAAGACTACATCAGAGCTAGCATTCAGGTCGGTCGACTGCCAGCACAGCATGGTCGACCGCGTTCCAGCACGACTTGGTCGACCGCGCTCCAGCAGTGCAAAGTAGACGACGTGCCAACGCTGCAAGTTGACGGCGTGCCAGCATTGCTCCCGCAGAACAGCAGCGCACCTACTTCGCAGGTGCTCGTAGATGATTGGCGGGCTAAGCCTCGTCACCTGAACAGCGCACGCACCAAGTCATCCTCGTGCTGACGGCTCCACCTGATCCGCCACGTCGACCTCGGGATACCACCACCGAGGTCGGACTCGCCAACTTCGCCTGGGCGACCGTCACACTCCTTCGCAGAACCTCGTCACCCAGGTATCCCGGTCGACCGGGCAACCATGTCGACCAGCTGCTCCTGTATGTGCTCGTCGACCTCCCAAGTCGACGACCACCCCAAGTCGACCTCACCAGGTCGACCACACCTCTGGTCGACCAGCTCCAGGTCGATGTCACTCCTGGTCGACCAGCTCCACGTCGACCAGCGCAGTTGTCAGCCGACCACCCAAGTCGGCTACCCGAAGTCGGCGTCACCAAGTCGGCGCCGACTTCCGGGCCGACGTGCCACATCGCTGACCACCGAGTCGGCGGCATTGCAGTGGCCCCGTGCAAGTCGACCAACCCCGTCGACCAGCTCGCCCAAGTCGGCGTCGCCCACTGCAACAAGTCGGCTGTACCTCCCGTACACCCAACCACGAAGTCGGCTCCGCCCAAGCGAGGACGGGGCCAACAACAACTCCCGTTGACACTCCCCTGCCGCGTTCACGCTTGGGCTCCCAGCCCACACGGCATCACTGCTCGAAGAATAGCTCGTCGGCGTGCACCCAACACACAGCACGCCGGTCACCGCACCAGCCATGCAGGCGGGCATGGCACCTACTGCTGCACGTCGTTGTCGCCGTCGCCCACGTCGGCCAAGCGCACCTGGCCGATTGCGACGGAGCACCGGTTGAAGGCCGGATAGTGTAGCGCCTTCGTCAGGAAGTCTGCTGGCTGCTCAGCGGTCGGGATGTACTGCAGCGAGAACTTCCCGCGCTTCACCATGTGTTGCAGCCAGGCCTGTCGCCGCTCCATGTGCTTGAGGTTGCCTGTCAACCCCATGCCCTCGGCGACCATGATGGCCGACTTGTTGTCCACCCGAAGGACGGTCGGCTTCCCGGCATCCAGCTGCCGGAACTCTGCAAGGAGGTAGCAAAGTCGGCGTCCTTCCTTGCCGGCTTCAGTGGCTGCCACGTACTCCGACTCAGTCGACGACAACGTCGCGCACTTGATGCGCTGGCTCGACCAGGAGACTGCGGCCCCTCCATAGACGAACACGTAGCCACCCGTGCTCGTCCTGTTCTGCTTGTCACCGGCATCGTCGGCGTCCACGTAGCCGACCAGCTCCAGCGACTCAGGTCCACCGCCGAACTCCAGGGCGGTGTCACGTGTGTTGGCGAGGTAGGCAAGGCAACGGTCGACCTCGCGCCAGTGCTGGTCGCTCCTCACCGTGAGGCCGCTCCACAGCTTGCTGCAGGCAAAGGCGATGTCCGGCCTCGTCGTCATCGCCGCGAACTGCAACGAGCCGACCTTCTGCCGGTACTCTTCCTCCCGGCGTTCCTGCGCCTCCTCGTCGTCGAAGGTGAGCTCGGCGTAGGCGTCGACCGAGACCGGCGTCCTCGGGGTGCGCCCGGTCTGCTCCTCGTCAATGAAGCGCCTACGTAGCTTGTCGGAGTAGCCCTCCTGGTGCAGCCACAGCTTCCCCGCCGACCTGTCGCGCACGATCTCCAGCCCAAGGTACTTCTGCACCGGCGAGATCTCGCGCAGCTCGAAGGCGGATTCCAGCAGCTCCTTCAGCTCCTTGAGCATCACGGCGCTGCTACTGGCGGCAAGCAGGTCGTCAACGTAGACCAGCACCCAGCAGGCCACTCCGTCCTTGCCGACCTTGAAGTAAAGAGCCTCGTCGACCTGGCTCTTCTTCCACCCGGCGCCGACCAGCACATCGTTGAGCGCCAAGTACCACAGCAGCGGCGACTGCTTCAGCCCATACAGGCTCTTCAGCAGCCTGCACACCCGGCCGGATCCGTCATTGAAGTAGTCCTGCTGGTGCATGTACAGCACCCGGTCGAGCTTGCTCTGCAGGAAGGCGTTCTTCATGTCGAGCTGCATCAGGTTGAGGTTGAGGACGGCGACGATGCTGAGGAAGATCCTCAGCGTGACGTAGCTGCCCACTGGCGCGAACGTCTCGTCGTAGTCGGCACCGTACACCTGCGTGAAGCCCTTCACGACCAGCCTCGCCTTCTCTCGCTCGACGGTGTCGTCGATGTGGTACTTCGTCGTCAACACCCACCGGTTCTTCATGATGTTCACTCCCGGCGGGCGTTCGACCAGCTCCCACGTTCCCATGTTGAGGAGGCTGCGAATCTCCTCCTCCATGGCGGCCTTCACCGCCGGGCCCTTCCAGCTCGCCAACGCCTCCTTCACCGTCATCGTCGAGATGTCCCAACGGTGCTCGGGGTCGGCTAGCATGTCGGGGTCGAGCTCTGGAAACTCCTCATCCTCTTCGGCGTCGTCGTACAGCAGGTCGTCGTCATCATCGTCCACGTCGTACACCGTGGTGAAGGCAGCGGGGACGAAGAAGTCAGGCGGCCTCCGAAGTCGGCCTGAACGCCGTGGTCCCGGCTGGACCTCCTCGGCGTCCCCTCCATCGTCGCTGTCGTCGCTGCCCTCGGCGTCCTGCTGCTCCTCAGCCGGCGTCCCAGCCGACTGCTCCCCTGTGGTCGGCGTCCCAACCGACTTCTCCCCTGTGGTCGGCTCCCCTGCCGACTGTCCGGTCGCCGATTGCTCCTTGGTCGGCGTCGCTGCTGCCTGCTCCCCTGTCAGCTGCTGTTCTGCAGACGTCTCCTTCACCGGCTTCACCAAAGTCGGCTGCACCACCTGCTGCCTCCCAGTCGGCGTCAGCTGCACTCCCACGCCGACTTTCACAGCATCACGTCGGCCACCGGCGATGCTTGGGGCCGGCGCCACAGGTGACGCCCCACGTCTCCCCTCATCACCAGAGGCCGACGTTGGGGTCAGCCCATGCAAGTCGGCGTCCAGGGGAGGGGCAGGTGAAGGGTAGGGACCGGGGACGTCTTCGGCGTCCTCACCAGCAAGCGCACCAACCTCGGCGAGCAGAGGCACCGACGCCGTCGAGGTGTCCGTTGGCGGGTGAACTGGCATCCGCCCTGACACCGGCCCGTGCGCCGACTTCCACATGTCTAGCGACATGCTCTCGTAGAACACCACGTCCGACGTGGTGACCACCTGGTTGTCGGCGAGGTCGAGGAGCTCCCAGCCCTTGCTCTCCTCCGACACGCCGAGGTGAAGGCCCCACCGGGCCTTTGGCTGCAGCTTTCCACCACGCTGCTGCTCGGGGACCAAGAACTGAGCCATGCAACCCCACACCCATGCCAGCGACAAGTCGGGCTTCTTCCCGGTCAGCAACTGGTACGGCGTTGTCCCCGGCAGCAGCGCCGACCTCTCAAGGCAGTTGCGGACCCAGACGGCCTGCCGGAGAGCGAGGTGCCACCAGTGGTGCTGCACGCCCATGTGCAGCAGCATCGTCCGTATTGACTCCACCACCGTCCTCATCTCCCGCTCCGCCATGCCGTTCTGCTGCGGGGTGTACGGGCAGGTCAGGTCGTGGACGATCCCCTTGCCGTTCACGAAGTCGGTGAACTGCTTCCCGAGGAACTCCACTCCCCGGTCAGAGCGCAGCATCAACACCGACCGCTTCGTCTGCCTCTCAGCCGCCGCCAGCCACTGCACGAACTCCCGCAACGCATCGGACTTCTTGGCGACCGGCCTCACCCACACGTAGCGGGTCTTGCGGTCCTTCAGCAGCAAGAAGTACAGGCTACCGTCCTTGGCAGCCACGCAGAAAGGCCCGCACAGGTCGATATGCACAACTGCCAGCACGTTGTCGGCGTCGGAACCCTGGTCGGGGAAGGTGTGCCGCGCCAGCTTCCCGCCGACACACGAGACACACGGTGAGTCGGCGCCAGACGCCGACTTGAGGTCCAGCCCGATGGCGACCTCGTTCTTCGCCGAGCTCCTGATGGTGTCCATGCCGACGTGCGCAAGTCTAGCATGCATCCTGTCCGGCGTCGACTTCGTTTTTGAGACGATCGCCCGCAGGGCCACAACCTCCGTCGTGGGCGACTTCGACCTCGTTGAGTAGGGACGCAGGTCGGTGCAGAGGACCCGCCCGGAGTACGTCGCCCGGCCGAGCACCTCCCCAGCCGCCGAGACAAGCAGCATTCCGTCTCCGTCCTCTTGCAGCTTCACGCCGTGCTCCTTCAGCTGGCCGGACGACAGCAGGTTGGCTCGGACACCCGGGACGTACAACACGTCGGGGATGAGCACCTGCTTCCCGGCCTCTCCTTGCAGAGCGACGGTGCCGCGGCCCTGGACGTCCTGCAGTGCCCCATTGAAGCCCCGCACGTGCTTGATGGAGCCGCTCGGCTGCAGGTCGACGAAGACTTCCTTCGTCCCCATCAGGTGATGGGAGCAGCCGCTGTCGAGCAGGACCACCGCCGGGTTCGCCCGCACAGCTGCTGCCACTGCCTGGAAGTCCTCTCCGGCCTCCGGCGCCAGCGAGACGGTCGGCTCCACGACGCCGACCAGCGAGCACGACGCTGTCTTGTCATCCCGCCCCTTTCCGCCTGCAGAGGAGTCGGCGTCCTTCGCCGAGGTCGACGTAGTCGACTTCTTCTCCTTGCGCGGCTTGTTTCCTCCTCGACGAGGACGACGACTGCCAGACCTC